AACCATTCCCTGTCACAAACAGGAACTGGCAGCCTGTAAATAAACACAATGGTGGAATTGCTAATAAGCTCCATTTCCACCAAGAGCAATTTTGTTGCTGCCAACATGAATTCCACATGGCTGACCATTTCCTACCATTCACCTCTACTGCTCCAAGTATCCTTCTAGGGTCACTTTGTCTCACACTGAGGAAGTTATTCTTGAAATCATAGCCCTAAGTTAAGATTTCCACCTGGTTATTGAAGCAATCTTACTATTAAAGTGGGTTGCCATAGATGAATGTTTTATAGCAGTGTCTCAACTACTTCTGCATCTTACCAAAGATACTACTTACTACTTACTTACCCAAGGATGGAAGCACCTGCCCTGCCACAACTCTCCCACATACCTCTGACAGTTATGATACTGCAGGTAATCCTAACTTTTTTGGACGTTCTATAGTGGCTGATTTCTGCAAAAGTGTAAGTGATAAACTTTCATGAGTTAATAATTTTGTCACAAGATACATATATATACACAAAGCTAATTAATACCAGTTGAGAGAAACTGTGAAGAATTGTACACATACATAGAAATCAGCTAAGTTTCATGATGTGATCTCAGGAAATTGCTCCCCTAATTGGAAAATTAGCAACTGGCAGCCACAAAATCCCCAGGAAAAATGAAAAAAGACACAAACAGAAGAAAACCCACCAGAACCTGCAGAGCTTATTGATAATTAATGGGTGAAGAGAACACTCATTAGGGCAGGAAGGCTAGGAGAGATCTCTGGAACAGTTCAGGGCAGTTCCAACTCCAGACTTTTTATACCTATATAAAATTGCCAGAGGAGTAAAACCCAAAAATGCAAAATATCCACAGTAGTAAGTGACTGAGCAGCAACTCACACAATGAAGAATGGATAAACATACTCACAGATAAAAAAATGTCACTCTTATCTGTACTGCAAAGCCCTCAGAGCCTGTGCCAGAGGTATTGAAGCACATACCTAATGCTGAGGAAATGAATTTGATCCTTTCACCAGAAGAGATCACAGATTGTAGGTGACACAGTCTCTTAGTGTGTGAAAACACTATGTTAATACTTCTGACTTGTCAGTAATCAATGCATTACTAGGAAGTTATCCCTGAAATTAAGCTGCTGCAACTCACATTGCAGATGTTAAAGATATGGAGGGGAGAGAAAGGAGCCTAAACTACAATGAAAACTGAAGCCAAAGGACTTGTACAACCTCCTGATTACAGACAGTGAAACTGGTCCCAAATACATAAGGAGAATCATTAGAGGAACTCTGACAAGATCCAAAGTTTATGGAAAATATAAAATCCAATGTGAAAGATAAACCCTGAAAATTCCCCAAATCCTCTTCAGAGCACTCCAGTGAACCAGCACATGCTCCACACAGTGCCTGGATGTTTCTGAATCAGCAAGTCTAACATGAGGATATTTTTTCCAGGGGTCAATTTTCCCATTGATGCAAGGAGGATTTACACATGCAAGTCCCATTAACATTAGTAAGAGTTACCCACATAAATCCCCCTGCAATGATGGGAGAAAAGATCCCAGAGCCTGCAAGGATCTGAGTTCTAATGATTACCTGTCAAATGGTCCTAAGCATCATCACCACCACAAAAAGCAGACGTAGCAGCTTCGTGCCTGAAAACACTTCCCAAGGAGCAGTGACTGATTGCAGTCCTACAGCTGAGGCAATGCAACAGCACAAGGGGAAATGGCATAAAATGGACTGTTTGAATATTAAGAGTTAATCCAATTAACCAACTTAAAAAGAAAGCACTCATTAAAAAAAAGAATTCAAACATATCAAAGCCCTCCTTAGGAAAAAAAAAGGTGTGAATATTGTATGAGCTCCAAGGTGCTTGAAGGATAATACAGCTACTTGTTTAAAAATTCAATTAACCTTATCTTTCTTTAACTTGATTTATTAATAATCCCACAGATAAAATGCCAGTTTTTAAAAAGTCATGTTATCTTCGGAATACATCCTGTGTGACAAGCCTTAAAAACCACTTCAAGTAAGCCTAACCCTGGCCCTGGATGCTTGAATCATTGAAAGAAAGAACAAAATGCAGTGCAGAACACGATTTCTGGGAAACACACAGATCAGGTCTTATCTACTGCCACTGCTAGTGAGCTATTGGGTACTCAAGTACCATAGGAAAAACACTTTATGTTTCCATTCGCTGTAGGAATGAGACATGAAAACAGATTTTAAGCAATCAATGTAGTGTTAAGTCAGAGCCTTGTTGATCACTCCAGGGATCTGAAATCAGAGCTGCAGTATTTCCCAACTTTGCTTCATGTGGACATGAGGCACTAAGACAGGACTTTCTATAAACTTACTGAGATGAACTTGCTGTCACCCACGTAAACCTTATTCCAGGTGTCACTGTGCTGCAAACACTCAGCAGAACTAGCAGGAAATCCCACGTAGCAAAGGAACTGCTTTACTTCGGAACAAATGCAAAGAAAACACTGCAAAATGCACTTGCAAGCAAACCTTTAATTTTCATCAAATGATTTCCTTGTAAACATAGAAGATGAACAATTCAGCTATGACCCCTATTAGTGACAGACCAACAGGGTCTAGGTCCTCCCTTCGCTCCTGTGCAGATCTGCAGGTGGTAGATACAATCACCATACACTCATGCTGTCCAACACACACAGAAATTACAGCTAGATGGAGAGGCAGCCTGCTGGTTGCTACAGATAAATACCTGCTCAATCACAAGCATCCAGAGGGAACAGCTGTTGAACACTGGGAACATTTCAGCCAGGGATTGCTCTGAGGGTCATGCACACAGTGGTACCTGCACACACTACACACCCAGGGGCTGAAATGCAAACAGGGGACACGGTGCAGGACAAAGGGGAGTTAACAGGATCAGTTCTGCTATAAAAAAATAAATAAACTAACCTTTCTGGCAGGGAGTCAGTCTCCAGGCAGGCACAGGCACATCTGGCTGTGGCACATCAGCCAGTGCTCAGTATTCAGGACTCAATGGCATTTCTGATTCACTTACTGTATTTAAGTACTGCTAGAACTCTATCTATTTCAGGAAGAGGTTTAAACCCCAACTCATCACAACTCACTGGTCTCCAGAAACACTACTGACCTACGGGTGCATATCTGAAGGTAAATCTTTAAGTATGAGATAAATATTTTCATCATCTGAATATCTGATTTCAAGCATTGCTCAGAAGAAGTGCAAGTTTATCATGGGCATCTACAACAGCTTCTCATTCCATGAGTTTTTCATACAAACTAGGTCTATAAATGCTTTTATTGTATAAATACTTCATGATTTCTCATTACAAAATGCATAGTTCACAGCAACCACACTCATTTTAATCCTGCTAATTGGGATCAATACAAACCTTTGGAATTATCAGTTGAACCTTCTCTCCACCACAAAACCCTCTCAGTTAATGATCAACTAAACTTCTCAGACCACATACTTCAAAAAAATTAAGTACTGACTTCCTGAAGGCTCAAACACTGCAACAAATCCAGGGAAACTAGTAACAGGGATGCTCCATTTATGACTTTAAATGTTGTTAGGATATCTAGCAGCAAGTTTAATTGGTGCTGTTTTCCTGATTACAGTAAATTAAGTCACTGGTGAAAATATGAGATCTATTAGATCTTGGCAAAAAAAAATTGAAAGTAAAATAGTTTCATGTGAGAAACATCTTTTGCATGGTATTTGCTTCTAAATTATGGCATCAGTTTCAAAACTAGACAAGAAACCACCCCAGAACTGTCAGTACTATTGCCTTTAAGTTCCACCCATAAGCCTGATGTGCAGGACAGATGGCAAAGCTCTACCTTCAATGGTTTAATGAGCACAGATTCAAGAGGTTTGAGTGGAAGATCATCTTCTGACTGGTAAGCAACTTGCACTTTTTTCCTTTTGCTTAGTTTAGACTTGTTGCCTGTTTAGAAGATGGAGGATTCCTTCTAAGATGCAAACCAAGACCAAATTCTCTCAATAAATCACGAATCCTCTTTCAGCACTTCAAATTTAAAGGCTTTGTTCTCTATCTTTTGTTTAGCTATAAACCCTGATGGATCTGGTGGACCTAGGACTGTTTAGAACTGCCTCAGCTATCGATGAAACTACTTGACAAACAAGATTCAAGCTAAGGAAAGTAAGGCCATTGCAAATAACATGGTTGTGGGGGGTTTAAACCTCTTTTTCTTACCCTTCCTCCCTTTTAGTTTGAGTCAAGCTCCTCTTGTCCTAAGAGAACACTGTTCATTCATTCATTCATTCACTCATTCATTCTCTTCCTGGGTAACAGCAGCAGCATCTCCACTACTGCTCTCCTCGGCTGAGGGTTCAGGTTTGGTCTCTGCTGAGTGACTGGATCCAGACTCTTCTGCCTCAAGCTCATCTTCATCATAAATAATATCCTCTGGATTTGGTGGTGGTGGACAAAACTCCTCTGTTGGAAACATTTCTCGGAAAATAGCCTCAGCCTAGTCAGAAAAAAACAAGAATAACAAACTTTACCTTGAAATGTAACACCTTGAGGCAATATTTTACAGGTGTTTAGGATGAACCTCAGTTCTTTCAGATCAACAGTGATTTAATACTTTGTCAGTATTTAAACACAAGGGAAATCCATTCCTTCCTGGAGTCCTCAGAAGAGAAAAAGCAATTTATCTTTTGGCATTACTCTACTAGGAAAGTCACAGCATGGGACTGTGTAACTGCTGGTCAGTCTGGGTTGTACTGAGAGCAAGGAAGAGGATTTTTAGCAAGCCAAATCTCTTCCACTACACAAATATAACTTTAGCTGCAGCCAAATGCTGGCTTCAATTCCTTCCCCACCCAACCTGCAGCTGTGCCTGGGATTGCCATTCAGTCCAATTAGTCAGCAAATATCACTCCCAAAATGGTCAAATAACATGGGAAGAAATTCTCAGAATGTTATGCAAGACATCCTGACACTGATCAGAACTGAACAGGTTAATGGCATAGAATGTTCTCAGCTCTACCAGTTTTTAAGCTAACCTTATCCAGCTGAAGGAACACAGAATAACCAATAATAATTTAACAACTCTTTCATTTTAACACTTTGATACTTGTTGTCAGTAATTCAGGTAGCAAATAGTTCCTTCAAGATTTAGTGTATCAACTGAAAAGTGTGTGTACAACTGAACTCAGCCTTAAGCCCTAAGCATGCAAAGCACTTGTGTACTCTAATTAAAGTGTTTGAAGTTGAATAGAACTAAGGTTTGCTCCTGCTTTGCTGTATTCCTCCTTGGACACAACCTGTGGGGGATTTACAGCAGCTTCTCCAGGGACCACTATCAAACTAACAGGAGCTGGAAATACAAACATAAATAGGTTAAAGGACAAACATTGGCCTGACAATTGTAGTGTGTCTTCTTATGAAGATGCCTCAGAAACCTGAATTACTTCAAGGAACATCTTACTTTAGAGCATAATAATTCATGTCAGGTTGTAGCAGTGAAAATATAGAAACCTGGAAGCCAAATGCTTTACTGGATCCACACATGGAGAATCTGAAGGAACCATAAACAGCATTTTCATTTCATTTAGCCTGTCCTCAGGGCAAGCAAGCGCAGACATCGAAATTAATTGTGTCGTACGAGAAATGTAACACTAAATTATAATAAAGCAAGAATGAAGTAATTTGTACACTGAGGTGTAGGTGGATAATTGTCTGCACAAGTTGTGGTGTCTTGCCTCCTCAATAATGTATCATCCATGCAGCCAAACAGCAGGAGAAACAGGAGATAGTAACACTAGTGGCAATGAAAAATTAAATCACAGCAAGGACCAGTAAAACACTAACCCCAACATGATTAGAGAAATCAGATTCAATTTTCCAAGCCATCTCCAAGGCTAATACACACAGTGGGGTTTGTTTGTGTTTTGAAGTGTTCTGATCCATGAGCTTGTCAGTATTTCCCATTTGGAGATTCCCAGTGCATTGCTGGGAGGATGACAGTGATTTGGGGGTGGAAGGCACAACTTAGAGCTACTTCCCATCTTACCAAGAAGGTCCCTGGATGGTGTATCCCAGCTATGAGTTCTGCTTTATCTTCAGCCTATTCTCCCCTCTGTTCATACACATGACTTTTAATTACAAATATGTTTACACTGAAGAATTTTTAACTAGTGACCATTTGTTTCAGAACTGAAATCAGGCTCAAACCAATGTAGCCTCTCTATTTACGTCTGGTTTAGGCTCCTCCTGCTCTGAGATCTGCTAAACATCTCTCTCACTGATGGTCAACAGACTGAACACAAAGGCTGAACTGCAGCACTGAGAATATTTAAACAGGCCTTGATCTATACCATCATTACTCACTGGTGAGAAAAAGAGCTTTTAAGGGAAGACAGAGCTGGATGTTAGCAAAGGGTCTATCAGAATTAGAAACAGGCTGGGTTTAAGTGTATTTAATCAGCTTTTAACTTGCACTGTTTTAAACAACAGTTGTAAAATACCTCCTTTGGAAACGAACTCATTTACAATTTCAAGCTGCTACCATAATAATTGTCTTGCATTATTTTTTGTCTGTACAGTTCTTTATCCCCCTGGGAGGCAAATTATAGCCTTGTAAAGCAAAATAAAGAGTACTATTAGCCCTTAATGACACTGTTCTGACCCTGCAGCTCAGGCTCTGTCAGCCTCTCCACTTCAAAATCTTATATTTAAGAGGTTTATGACTTAGTCATAAAAAATCCTGCAAGTGGTTAGAAGCTGGCACACAGTGTCTGAGCATGGCCATTACACAAACAGCTTTAAAAATGACCAGTGCCAGATAATCCCCCAAAGATGTGAAGTGTTCTCTTCTCTCTGAAAGGCCCAGACACCACAGGGAACTGCTGGGAGGGACTTCTCTAAGAATGTGTGCTTTCCTTGTCCAGGTGGATCTCTGAAGGGAAAAGCAAAGAAGTATTCCTGGAGTTATCTTTTGTTGAACAGGTTGTAATTTCCATATTTGCATGATCTTATCATCTATGTGTTTCTGCATAAAGCACAATAACCCAAACTGTACTGCACTTAGACCTTCAAAACTCATCTGCCCAACCTGTTTGACAGCACAGTCGTTGCCCAAAGCAGAGTCTGGCCCGGAGCAGACATAAACATTTGAGGGTAAACCATCATAGGAACTTCTCTCAACTCCTGAAGAATCTCTCATGTTGAAGTAGACTGCCCAGAGCACTTTGGGTTTCTCCAGTTCTTCATTTTCGGTCTCTGAAAAGCAAAAAAGTGTTTGCAGTAGTTGGTGTTTTTGAGTAATAAGGGAAATAGGCAATCTACCATACAAGGAGTCAAATTATTCACATGGAATTACTATAATAAAGTAATTTATCATCTTTAACAAGCCGATTGTTTTACTTTCCACTCCTTTCTGAGTTTCTCTTTCATCACACTTTTCCTCTCCTTTCCAAGCACAGGGATGTAAACTCTGCTTACTCTGTACACACTACGGCCCACAAGAACCAATTATCACCTCCAAACACGTGCCCAAGAAGTTTGGTCTAAATTTAACACCTTCCACTTCACACTATCTGCTTCACTCTGGATAAAGTCCAAGGGCTGAGCAGGTCCTCCCTGGGCTGTGCCCACTTGGAGGCATTGTGTTCCATATGCAAAGATATTTTTGATGTATAATTTCCCCCTTAGTTTAACAGTTTATTTTTGTATGGGGAATCTTCTCCTTCTCAGACACACTCAGTCTCCAAGAGAATGTAAGGAGACTGATCGTCATGGTTGAAATAACAGAAATCTGAAGGAAAAATCCACAAGAAATACCTTAGCCCCAAAAGAAGTGAAGCCAAAGGAGGCACAGAGGCAGAAAATCCCCTGGGGTGATGAAGGTCAGTTCTGACCAGTGCAGAATGCAAGGGAGAAACACACAGCACAGATCCTTAGCCTAAAAGAAACTACCTGTTTGGCATATTTGCTGTCCCCTTTTTGGTATTTTGCCTCCTCTAAAATAAATGAAGCTTGTAAAAGTCCTTGTGAGAGTTACCTCTTTCCAAGGAAGAAATATCAAGATACCAACAGCATTCAAAAGCGTATTTTAAAGCGGTTGGATTAGAAAAAAAAAAAGAGATAAATCTATGCTATTCCCTCAGTATCTTTTTATAACTGTCAAATATTAAAAAAAAAAAAAAGTGCTAACCACACTGAAGAGTTTGAAATATAAATTAAACTCATCAGCCTGTGAAAGTCTGAGCCTTAATACAGGGCAAGATGCTCTTTAATATATTTAAAAGTTCACATTGCTCATAAAAGTTACTTCTTTCTCATTTAGGCAGGAAAATGAATGGAGTCCTCTTCTCCAGGTGACTTTGCCTCTTTGACCTGCCATGGCCCAGTGCTCACTTTATCTGGTGATTCATTTTCAATAACTCCAACAGTATTTGTTCTGACATTTTAATTAAAATACGACCACTACCTCATCCTGATGATAAAAAGGCCTATGTGTCAGGGAAAACTAGCTCCTCAGTGCCTCAGTGCACCTGAGGACCCCTATGATCACAAAGTTTCTCCAGAAGAATTTCAGTCAGCTTCTAAACAATACATCATTTCAAAACTGGATCACTTTAAGCATTAAGATTAATGCCAACCCTCCCCACAGGATTAGGAGAGACTGAACTGCAAACTGATCTTCCCTTCCCCAACTGAGTCTCTGAAACACACATGGCATGACTTGAAAATGTAAGATATAAGTAAAATATCAAAAGTTGGAAGTTAGCAGGCTTGAGACGAACTAATAGCAATGAGAAAAGTGTTTGCAACTCTTCAGTCTAACCAAGTTTTCTCTTAGCTGTACTCTACATATTACAAGCAAACCAATTATAAATGTTATCAAACACTTCCCTTCATAGTAACTTGCATTTATTCCAACACAACAACTGTCACTGACAGCTGAGTGCTGTTTTCTCATACAGCAGCTATGACTTACTGAGCTGAAAGATGGCCACACTGCATTTAAATAACATTTTGCCAGGGTTAGAGCACAGCAACATCTTCTGTATGCACACTAACTGTTCTGTGAGCATCTACAAAAACAGCATTAAATTCAAGATCTCAGGGTTAAATTTCAAAACCTTGTGTGGAATTAGCTCAAATTACCTCGGGGACAATTTCTTTCTAGGCAGCAACTGCTCTGTCACATCTGCTCTTCTCTGGGGCTGTGAAGTTGTCCATCTCAAGGCCAAAGTTTGTGACACTAGCTGACAAGGCTTCCTTGAATTTAGGGCCTAATAGTTCATCATTGGACACCTCTGGGAATCTATCTGTGTGATAACAATGTGTAACAACTTTATGTTTCCACTGCTTAATGCAGAATCCAGAGAATTTCAACTAAACAGCAAACAGGGAAGCACCTCAAGACAACAAAAGCCTGAGCAAGAGCCTTAGAACAAGAGGAGGCAAAAGAAAACTAAGCAGCTTCTGGCACTGAGCACATCTGGAGAGGAGGAGGAAAGCACAGCACTAACTCTTGGGGTTTTGGTAAGTTTTGTTAGGGACACCCAAGTGATAGAAATCACTAAAACCAGGATAGTGTTAAAAAACAATTCACAAATACTTCATATCACTACTGCACCTCTGAGACATGCGGAGGAGCAAATATGCTCCCTGGAAAAAAAAGTGTGAAAATCAGAAAGGTCCCAGACACTTAGAGCCATTGGCCTTGGAACTGAAGTCAAACCACAGCTGAAGAAGACTTGGAGCATCAGACCATGCAATACAACAACCCTGACATGTGTTTAATCCATGTCACTCTCTAGAGATCCCTTCACTCTGAAATGCTGATACCTCAGGAGCAGCTCACCATGTGCTGACTCTGATGGTACATTCAGATGTGCAGTAACAGGTATTTTACTTACAAAGGTAAATTATATTTACACAAAGTAACCTCTTAACACTTCACTTATTTGTTTTTACCTTTTTCTGCATTTAGATTGAATAACTGCTGCACAACAGGCTCTAAGTCTTCCCTAGCAGTTTGAGTTGATGGGCAGGTTAAATGGACCAAATCTGTTAAAAAAGAACAGAAGCCAATTACCATCACCAATATACAGATCTATAAATAACATGTACAATTTTTTCAAGGCACAGCAGAAGACTTTTAGAAATCACAGTTCTTCACAGAAATCACTTCCTTTAACCCAGGGAAGTGCTGCATCATGGAAATGCAGTGTACATACAGCACACAGAGAAATTCTCTTAGTACATCTCATAATTACCTCCAACCTCATTCTGTGATGTATGTTGTGACATATGTAATCCCTTGGTACAACATACCAACAAGCTCTACAACCTTTTATTCATCCATGTCCTTATTAGAGGATAGGGAAACCCCAGTCAGGTGTTTGGGTCAGGGTGGATTGGGCCAGGTAAGGGTTTCTGATCTCACATACTTGATGCCAAGAGCTGCTCTGCCCATGTCAGAAACTAACCAGAGTTCAGGAAACACATATTGCAAAAACATGGAAAGACTTTAGACCACAAGAACATACAGTAGAGCTGTATAATCAACCCAAATTCACCTCCCAGCATGGGAATAGCCATACCACTGAAGTCAGGTTTGTGTGTGTGAAAATTCAGTTTTGCTCCATTAATATAGATGTGATATTTAGTTTTAGTCCTTGTTTCCATGAAAATAAAGTTGCTAAACTATTCCTGCAGTTGCTCTGTTTTGCAGACTCATGAAGCTGCTGACTCCTTAGAAAAGACAAACACATGTTGCAGCTCTGACCTCTTCTCTGTTGCACTGGTCTCTGCCCAGCCCCAGCCCCAGCAGCTCTGCTGTTCATTCCACCTCACTTCACAGCCATTCATTCATGTAAAAGCCTCATCTCAAAGCCTGTCCTAAAACCACCTTAACAGACCCATTTGCTACTGGAAACTTCTCAGCAGAGAATTCTCCACCAGATCATCATAAAGGAATTTAACACACCTTTGCACAAAGTGAACTGTGCTGGATTTAACAGCAGTGCAGAGCTGTGGTGTTATTTTAGATCTCTGTGACATTTCTCTCATTCCCCTCTAACCCTGGCTGTGCCTGTCATCGTTCACCAGTACCTTACACAGACCTTGGATGGTTTCTGGCCAGTTTCACACTGAGGACCAGAAATGTAACTTTTCATGCTCCTCTCTTCCAGGTTGCACACAGACACATTATACTCACACACTTAACCCAAACCAAACCTTCTGTCCAAAAGGAGTATGTACTAAAAAAGTACAAAGAACAGGAGGTGATAAGGAAAGTCTCTCTCTGTAACCTTAACAAGATGTTTACAGTCCCAAACACTGGAATACAATCTATTCTTTCCTCAAAAAAACCAGCTATAAATCACTAAAGTTCATATCATTTACCTTCTATAAAATCTTTTTTATTATCTTTAAGGTTATGGCTCTGAGTCACAGTCATCAGTATATATTTTGATTAGATTTGATTTACTCAGGTTTAACTGCATTAGTTACAGTGGTTGCCAACATTTGTCTTCAAGTAATTCTTCCAGCAAGAAGAACGATGAGTTTAGCTCATGATTTCATCATTACAGTCTCCATTTTTAGGGCAAGTGAAGGAGTTTGGTTCCACTCAACTGGCAATACAGATGATGTGCCTGTCACTGCTGCAGTGTGATCAAAGAGGAGATGTATTTGTACACTTATCTTAAATAATTGTTTGAAGGAGAAATCAGTCAGGTTAAAACCCATTTACAGATAATGATGCAAAAGTTTCTTAAAGAATTATGAATTATGTCCCATAACTGGAGCTCAGCTGTGCCTAATAGGGAACTGGAGGATTTCAAGACATGAAGACAAATTTCATTAAGGAAGGTGGTGCCTTCTCTTCTGGAATGAATTTATGGAGAAAAGTAAATAAGAGAAACCTCAGCACCATCAAAATGCTCATGAAACTGATCATTTATATCCTTCACTTCCATTCCTGGTATGCACATTGTGTGACCCCTTAAACAAAGAGAAATCATCTACAGAAAAGCTAAAAATTAACAACAGGATTTATAGCACTATGCTCTTAATTATTCCATAATTATACACAGGAGCTGGACTAGATGATCCTCAAGGGTCTGTTCCAACTCTGTACATTCTGTGATGTTATAACATTAAAATCACATACAACTATATATTAATATAATCATTATATAGTTATAGTACTAAGTTCTATATTGCTTTTAATTTTTACTATTATTTAAGCAGGAAATGTAACTCTGAATCGCTTAATAATTTAGCTCACTCTTCTTTCATATGCAAAGAACTGAGTACAAGTCTATGGAACAGTAAAATAAATTGATTATTAGTTACTTATTTTCTGTTGAAAAGCATTAGGTCAGGTCACCTCTAACTCTATTTAGCTTTCAGAGTGTCCCAAACTGATCATCTATTTAAGTGAAGAAGAATTTGGAAAGAAAAATAAATACACAATAAGAACATTTTGTTGCTCATTTATTTTTAGCTCCCATAAAATACCAACAAGAGTCCTAAAGGTTTGCAGAGAAACCTGTTCCTGGAAGTCCTGGGATGGCCCTGCTGAAATGGTGATCCCAGTTGGCTTTAGAATTAGAGTCTGATGCAGCAGGTGACAATAACAAAGTTCTTCAAAGACTCCTTCTAACTCTGCCTCAAATATGTCATAGTACCTCACATATATCATGATATCACCTATGCTCCTAATGGGACATAATCCCAACTCCACCAGAACTTTCAGAAGATAAAAATCTCCCAAATTCAGTGCACTTCAAGTGTTTCCATTTCACAGTGCAACTAAGGGAGACCATTCCCAAAAAAACAAACTACCAGGAAGATTCATGTGCTTGGGATTAGCTTTCTAATTTGCTGAAGGAAAGATTTCTTATTGTGTGAGAGAAAATGAGTCCACTAACCCATCAATGTGAGGGTGGTGAGACACTGGCCCAGGGAGGCTGTGGCTGCCCCAACCCTGGCAGTGTTCACAGCCAGGTTGGCTGAGCCTTGAGCAACCTGCTCTGGTGGGAGGTGTCCCTGCCCAGGGCAGGGGTTGGGGCTGGATCACCTATAAGATCAATTCCAATCCCATGTGATCCCAGGAGCCCAGTACTCCCTGGTTTGAGGGCATGGCCTGGGGAGGAATGGCACACACAGATGTGCCAGGGTTGAGAGTGTCCCAGGGAGAGACACCCTGTACTTACAGGTGTCCTTCATGCATGTCATGGTGGAGGAGCACAGCTCAATGACACAAACTGCTGGTTTCCCCACTTCCATGGGAGGCACTGTCAGAATGGACACCTGCAAGAAGGAACAACAGCTTATGGAGAAGCAGAGGATCATGGAGGATGTGGCAACCAGCACAGTTTTGAGTCAAGGTGAAAAATAACTGCAGACAGTTCCACAGTTTTGTTTCCTGTTCACTACTACAACTACTACAACTCCTTGAAAGTGAAGGAGTGCAGAGACTGGTGAGGCAGAAAGGTTTAAAGAAGGATCTGAAAGTGAACAATAAGAACTTCCAATAGTAATAGGGAAAGTTATCAAAAGAAAGAACTTTGAACAAAGTTTAGACAAGATGAATAATTAACAGAATGCTAAGGGCAACAGATTATTAAAAAGTAATTAAAAGGCAACCAAAATTAACAACCTTAAAGATAGAAGCTCAGCAGCTCTTAGTTGCAGTGTGAACCAAACAGGGAAACCCTAATTATTGACCTAAACTAAACTAAAATTTTAAGTTTCATACAGACTGAAACAAATGAAAGCTACCAGAAGACAGAGCTGATTAAAGGGCAGAGACCAAAGCATGAATTAATTCCTACCAGCAACTAAATATTAACACATGTAGTACAGAGAGACAAGTGTCCCAAGATTGGTTGTACCTGCTGCTCTGAGTCTGTGTTCAGCACAGACTGATCTGTAATGAGAACTGCCCTGGAGATCTGTCTGCAAGGAAACAGAACAACTGTGTAAAAATAATTATATAATAAACGCTACTATGCAAAAATCAAACAAAAATGCTAAAAAAAACCAGGCAATTTAGAATCACAGCTTTAGTAACACCAAGACTGTTTCACCACATAATCCTCATTAATATGACTCTCAGTGGGATACTTTGCCTGTGGCTGAAGTAGGAACATATCTGGAACATCAATGGAGTATTTTCAGTCACCAAAATAGATGAATAAATGAGTCAGTGCAGTTGCACAAAACAGCTTGAATTTCGTTTGTCTCTGTGATCAGGATTAGCAGCAGCATGTTATAGGATTTTGAATGTTCCAGGCAGCACAGGACACTCTGGATTAAGAGGAAACATGAGGGTGAAGCTCCAGAATTGCAGAGTTTCTGCTTTTCCAGTGGTCATGATTATTTCTGCACTGCTCTTTGATTATTTCTGCACTGCCCTCTGATTATTTCTGCACTGCTTTGACCACTACAGTTTTGCTAATAATATTTTCTCTGCACTGCAAATACGAAATCCCTAACACACTTAGAGCTTTGGATTTTTTATAAGGAAAGGGAGTATGATTTAGAAAACTGAAGAAAACCTGAAGGTGAAAGTATGTCCTCAAGTAAACAGGAGAAAAACTGCAGGGAACTAAGCGGCACTGCAAAGATAAAGCAGGAGACAAGAGTCTTTCCAGCTTAACTTGCAGAGTTCTTTAGACACCTTCATGTAAGGAAATTCACTGTGTTTGCTGTAGCATCACATACCTGTAACACACATCTGTGCAGGTGCTCTCTGAAAGGTAACTATCCTCCACAATAAAGTACTTAGCACTTATTCTTTGTCCAAAGTGATCCACAACAGCTTTGCACCTGTGAAAAAAAAATCCAACCATAATAAAAATGTACATGCAAGGTAACAAAACCATCTGTAAGGTTCTGCAGCACAACATTTACACCTTTCAATGAAGTTAGTTACTTATTTCTTGAACATGTGAATCCCTAAAATAACTCAACTGAGTTGAAAACTAAATCCTAGACTTACACATCCTACCAGGTATATACAATTTTTATATGATAATGATATCACAACTTTAATAAACTGGTTACTTTATAAGGAGAACTGGACCATATAAGGAGAGCTAAGACCACTGACATTTGTTGTACATTTCTTACCTCTGAACACCTAGAAAAGTAACACAATTATTTAGCAGGTGTTATACCATCACAGGGGTTCTCTCCCCCAGTCAGGAAACTTTACCAAAGACAAGTTTATTTTGACTATAATATTTGACAAATTAAATAGCGAATTAACTTTAGAGATATAAGGAAATCTCCCTGACAAATGAGAGCATCAGCCTGTCCAAGAGAACTTCTCTGAGCTTCTGTATTTGTGACTAAATACACTGTTTATCTCTTTCTGAATGGAGAAAAATGAAAAGTTGAGACACTTACAATAATTTTCAGGATTCAAGTGTAACATAACAGACTCGCACTCTTATAACTCGGACAGAAGTGCAAACCACAGAAATGAAGCAACCCAGTGAACTTAAATGAGAACACAAATTTGGGATTTGAATGGGGAAAATTCTCTATGAGAGAATAAGTTTAAGACTTACATATGACATATGAAACTACAGCACACACAAGACAAAGGCAAAGGAGCTGCCCACAGGTGCAAACCACACACAACCTTCTGCTGCTGATTCCTGGATCCATGACCTGTTCTACTCTGCAGATCAGAACATTTACTGTACAGATAAATGAACAATGCAAATTAGCTTTACTTAACCTTTGCTTGGTGTACGAAAATCATGATTTTTTTTTAATTACATTGTTCTGAATGACTTTATCAGTGTTTCCATTCAACACACAACCAGTAAATCCTCTCACACGCATTTACATGTATCGAAACAACATCAAAAGAAACAGAGAGCTGCCTGAGACAGAGATCCCTTACAGCTTTACATGTGTTTTGTCACAGTGCAACATCATTCCTGCAACAGCAAGTATCTGACATCCAAGTTGTGCCTTAGGAATAAACAACATTTCCGGAACTTCAAGTTATTCATCAGCTTCTGTGATCAAAATGATCTATAAAACCAAACTGAGATAAGTCATTTCAAGCAGCTTCCACTAGCTGGAGCAAACCAGTTGCTTCTGTAGCCTGAGATGAGAACTGAAAAGGGTGAACACAATCCCTACTTATAAATGTAAGAGGTTCAGGACTATTAAGCCTGTTTTATTGTTATATTCTATTAGCCTATTAACACTAACTTTTAATGGTGACTTCACTGGAATGTGGATCCTACATATTCCTATACTCATATTTCACAAGTACCTTGAGAACAGTAATTAAAGAAGTGTAATGGGACAAGCACTGTTTAAACATGCATTTTTCAGAGCTTCAAATTCTACCCAACGTGTTTCACTTGCAACTTTCAGAAGTTTCTCCTTACTGACAACCTAAGTGACTTAACTCTCAAGCTCTCATTTGAATACCGCAAATAAACAAGGAAGCCAAGATGCTGCAGTTCATCTCTAATTATAACCTTTTTTATTGTTGACGAAACAATTTCCCTGCCACCCCCTAAAGATTATGGAAGGGGAAAGGTTGATTAAATGTCATGTTGCATCACTCCAAGGCAGCAAAGGCAACGACACATTTTGTTTTGCCGCTAAGTGTTGTTTCCTCTCCTTTGTTCAGGAATAGCATCAGGTCACATGTGTGATAAGATTTTAAACTGAGAGAGAGAGAGAGCTTTTAATTTCAGTCCCACTTCACTTCAAAGGGTGATGCTGAGAATATTTCTTTCAAGTACTGCTCCCAAATACAGCAAACACTTCTGCACTGACATTATCAGGTCTCTGTCATCTGATATGTGTTGGGACAATGAATCATACCAAACCCTCCATTGACCTTCTTTCACTGTGTCTAGATAAAAGGATGAAAATTAGAATCCATCTCCTTGCAGTGCCACGAGTTATAAATGTACTTTATAGGGCTCATTATCCAAACTAATGGACTAAGGGCGACATCCTTGAAATGGACTCACAGCTCTGACAAAGCCACTGAGCAGTATTTCAAGAGAGATATGTAAATTACTAGCTGTTTGCTATAGCCTTTTATTACAGATGTATAAATGTCCATTCGTCACATCTCTCCCACTTTTGAGACAAAATAATGCAACTGCAAACATATGTAAAGTGAGATCAACAGAAAATGCCAACCACAGTTATTGCATTTGGTAACATGTACCCAAAAAGTGACCTGCAATGAACACAGAGAAACAACAAAATCAGCATTCATACAATCAATGTGCTTTTTCCTCACCCTAAGGAATGGGGTTTATTTTCTAACAGCATTAGGGTTCTAGCAAGAACACAGGATCTTCTTCAAACCTACTAAAACAGCAGGCCTGGTACAGTGGATAATAGATATTTTAAAGTGCATTACCAAAACCTTAAAGTAAGGATGTATAAAGTTTCTACAGTTTCACTCTGTCTTCCCTGAATCTTATTTTGATAAACCACAAAAAGGCCTATAGCAAAATGATGAAAAAACCCCTGTGGAGCTGGGGATGAAATCTACTCTTCTCTGTATGTACAAGGTACGGGCAGGAAAACGTGACAAAGCAATGTTAACCATGTCTAGAAAGGAGCTGGACTGAATTCTGGTGATGTTTAGGGACTTTAAACAAAAAGCTTGAGAAGAAAATCAAGGTTGTAGATAGAAGTATAAATTTTCCTTACATATCTTAAAATAGGAATATTAAAAACAGTGGAAAAATAACTGCATAAAGACATGGATGAAGCCTGAAAGGCTGTGGAAGATGCTATAAAATGGCAATGAATGCTGCCTGAATATCTCCTGTGTGAGTGCAAGCAAGGGAAGCCCAAAGCCAGCTGCACTGACAACGAGATATGAATTTGCCTATTACCAATTACTATTAATGGTCTGTTGACTCAAAAGCTCACTAACTCATAAATAGCCTCATTAACAGCTTGATAGCTGATTTTTATTAGGCAAAACACTGAAGTCCAAAGCCAAGAGGAAATGCAAGCTCATGCAGGGAAGGAATACACAGTGAGGAAGGAGATAACATGAAGAAAGGAAAACAAGGTAAAGGAAATAGTGATCTTGGATATGTTCATAGATTCACAGAATTTTAGGGGTTGGAATG